AAAATCACAAAAGGAGTATATATATATATATATAACTTACAATATATACAGAAACTCTTGTGCAAAAATTCAAAAAAATGAAAAAAAAATACTAGGGCCTAATGTTGTAGAAAAAATTACTATATTGTTGAAGATTATAAAAATACACATCTTCTGCCTAATTGGAGAGGTTATTTTTATAATATTTGGATAGCTAGCTTAGTTTATGTTGCATGTGATGGAAATATTAGAGAATCAATAGGAAATAAGAAAAGTTGTGATTGTCACCAATGAAACATTGATGACAGTATAGGGTAGCAAAAGATAATGGTCAAGAAATGATAATCAACAATGACTGTCAAATAATAGCATTCAAATGACGGCAGTCGAGCAATGACAATCAGATGATAGTAGAGCTGCAAATGAACCAAGTGTTCGACAAGCTACTCGTGACTCGGCTCGATTAAATCTCATTTATGATCATTTGATTAATTAATCAAATAAGTTTGAACACTTTCATAGGCGCTAATTCATGTACAAAATGAACTGGCTGGAACAGTTTGTTGTTTAGCTCATTTATGTTAATCAACAGTATCATTTAAAGTTCGTGAACATGCTTGTTATAAGCCAAATTACAACACAGTCATGAACAATATAGTTTAAATATTTATTTTTAGGCTAGACAAGTATTGTTTAATATGGATTATTTATTTTTCCAACAAACCATCAGTATAAAGCTCAAATAAAGAGCTAGCTATTGAAGCTAGATTAAGGCTTGATTAAGTCTCTTGTATTTCATTAAATGAGTTGTTCCCTAATAAGCTTGATGGGACTCAATATGAACCAACTCGAATTGTGCATAAGCCAAGCTTGAATAGAGTAGCTATAAATGAGCTCGAGCTCGAACAGAGTCTAAAAGCATTGAATTAAGCTCGAGCCAAGCTTGAACAAACACCTGCTTGGCTTGGCTTTGCTCTGTTCATTTGCAGACCTATGTGATATGGGTTGATATTGATAATTGTCGATACCAAATGTCTGGATAAACATTAGAATTTTTTTAGACTTATAAGCTCTCTTTCGCTTTGTTTACTTTCATTTTATGTAAAGAATGAGGTATATTTATAGTTTTAATTTTGAAATAATTTGTTAATTATTTTAGCCAAACACTCAAAACACCATATCAAATAGAATATATAGATTCTAATAATTATATATCATATCTTAGACATTTAATGTCTTATTAACAACAAAACTTGGTGATATTAATTTGTTTGATTTCTCTCATCAAGACATACATTTGAATGTAAGCATACATAATTAGAAAATCAGTTGATCCATCAAACAATACTAAAAAGTTTCTCAATACCCCTCAAGGGCTTCATTTCGATTCACTTGGATCAAGGATTTCAAGGTGTCATTCAATTTGTTTCATCAAGACATTAATTTTAAGTATAAGTTAGCTTAAAATAGTTTTAAAAACTCTTAAGTTAATATTGAAATTGCTTTATTTTCATACTTGTGCCAAGAACTATACTTGATTAGATAAAGTATGTTGTTGATGTACAAGTACTATTGTAAAGATGATATCATGTTTGATATACTATCATGAAATCCTAAAAAATTATGTTTATTTTTTTGGATTAATGAATATGAAAAAATATGTTAAAACCTAATTAAAAAGTTCCTAATTTAGTCATTAAAATGAAATTTCTATTGAAGGCAACAACTACCTTACAATGAAAAACTTTTATTACAAGCCTGATTTGTTACATTTTGCTTCCATTAGGTTCGTCTTTGATTTAGGTGCCACTTTTGTATAGATAAATTTGGTCCTTCTATTGCTAAATCTGCATAAATAAGACCTTAGCTTATTCAGCTTTTTCATGGCCTCCAAATTCATTTGTATTTGTATGTAAAAACCTAAAAAGATAATTTGAATAATGTTTAATATGCTCGTAAATTATATATGAACTTGTGGCTTCTATTATAGGATTATTAAGGTCAAGCTCATTTTGATCATCATTTGTCTTTTATTATAATTAAAAAATTTTCCTAATTGATTCATTATATAGTGAAGGCCTCATATTCTATTATTATCTAACCTATTAGTGGAATTCAATTGAATGCCATGAAAAAGAAAAGGAAGGTATCTCCTCAATAATCAAAAATGTCTCCCAATGCTAAAATAATAAAAGGCAAATTAGAAATAGGTTCCTCTGATTTATCCCAAATGAGGAAGGAGGTTAAATATGGTTTATTTATTTCTAAGGGATTAGGTTTCCTATAAGTACAAGCTCTTGTGATTATTATATTCTATGTATGATACTTGAGAACAATCCTAATTCAGGATGCCTACTCAAGTTCTTTTTCTTTACCACATAAAGGTGTCGAGGGTCAGTTTGATAGTTGAAGGTTATAGATATAAGGATACAAAATCACAAAAGGAGTGCTCAAAAAAATTTTGAAATCATACCTATGAAATTATATCTTACTAAAAAATAATTGAGATTAAAATTACTAACTGTAGAAAAAGTGCAATTAATGAAGAGGATGGATATGTAACCTTACAACAATTAGAAATATATTTATGTGAGTTTCCCATAGTGATGAAATGATGAAGGGATGATAGAAACTATACTTTGGAACATTGAAAAAACTTATATCATTACAGAACCCTAGGGAATACAACTAAATGATTTATATGTGACATATGCTTTAGAAATTAAACTTTGAAACATCAACCAAATTCATGCCATTAGTTTTATTGTAACTTAATGAGCTTATAGAGAATACATGAATATTGATAAAGTTTGTGAATGCTAAACAAAATGTGTTATGCCAATTTAGAAAAGAGAATAGAGTAGACTCACGATTTCACTTAAGGGGGTTACCTAAAGGTAAAAGGTTACAATATTAAACTATTGATTGTGCAAAGATTAAAAGAGAAAGGAGCATATAAATATCAACAATTAGATCTTTTAATGACTAAAATAGAAGTGTGGCTTATAACTTTAAAAACTACAGATAGTTGTCTAGACCTTGATCATGATTTTCCCGGAAGCATCTACCTTAGAGTCTTTATTAGTTCTTTACCATCAAGTCAAATGAATTGTGTAGGTTTATTCTTCTGCATAAATAGAAATATACTATCATAGAACTTATAACCTTAAGTTTAAAGACTTAAGAGATTTAATGATTGGTTTTGTACACTATTTGGGTGATAAATGCCATTAGACATACTACCTTAACGAACCTTAAAAGTAATGTTATTATGTCAGTATGATGAAGTGACGCTGACATAAAATAATAACTCTTATATCTCATATGCATATTAAAAAATTTATTTCAATTATTGTATTCAATTTCACATTCAAATGGAAATCTTAATTATATATAGAATTACAAAGCTAAGATATGATTTGAGCAATTCATGCTTTTCTTGATAAGTTGCATATTTATGTATTAAATTATTGATGTTCATTTTTTACAACTTGTTTTTAACAGATGAAAGAGTCACAAATCAACTTAAATTAAAGAAATATAATTTAAAATCACCTCATTGATGGTTGTGTGCATCTTCTTTAAACATTTTCTCGTCTATCTCTCATATTTTAATAATTTAATTAAACCTGAAAAGTCAGTGAAACAAATGTGAGCTAAACAAGTCAGTGAATACGCATACTTCTAAACTACAGGAATACAAGGAAAAGAAAGAACAATATGCATGTTAGTTAAGTTGTTTTATAAATCAAAAAAATATTTGACATGATATTCAAAGGGGTCTATATCATTATCATATCAATATCATTTCATAGCTTTACAACCGTCACATGAGCTCCATCTAAAAATTTGAGTCAATTAAGACACATCAATATCAATATTCTTTTTTATTTACGTGCACCGGTACATTAGTGTTCCTTCCATTAGTATCATCAAAGGGTGCTCAATCATGGTCAGACATGCACATGCAAGCATACTATAAATCATTTCATTTTCATCTAAATAACATACATGTGAAGTAAATAAGTATAACTATGCAAACCATTCACATTTATTTTGAAATGATGAAATTAAATAATAATTCAGAATAATCATATTCTTGTTGCAGGAACAGGATATCTTTGCTAATGACATTTTACTACAAGTGATGTAAAAGAAATACAATATTATTATCATTATTAGAAGTAAAGGTACTCACTTCGAAGTTGTATGACTTGTTTCAAACACGTTTAATCTTTGCTTCCAACAATTAGTTGCCTACAATATCGTAAAAATATAATCATAAGCATATTATTAATTATGCTTAATTAATCTCTTAATTATTTATATAACTTTAATTGTTGATTAGAAGCTTCATTTTAGGTATTCATGTTACTTTAATTTGACTATCAAAACTTCAACTAAATCGACATTTATGATTTTATTCAATATCAATAAATGTCCACTAAAATTTAAATGAATAACTATAATTTTTTTTTTCATATTTCAAATAAATCTTTCATATCACACACACACACGGACACCGGATGTAATAATTTTTCTTAGGGCAGGAGGTACCCTACGGCTTGCTCGGTTCGAATGCTTCAACTCTTTTTCCAACACAAGCTTCTTCAGCAATCAAAGCATCCTTCCTTCCATCGCTCATCTCTTGCTTCAGCACATGCACAACGCTCTTTTTTCTCAAAAATTTTTCTGTGCGGACTTCTGACGTAGCTCTACGTGCGGTGCAAGGTATTCCTGAATTATTTTCAGGTTGTTTCTGGGTTATTTTCAATAATCTCGAAATAACCTAGAAATAATTCGCGGTCTTTATTTTTGGATTATTTCTGGGTTATTTCGGGATTATTGAAAATAACCTAGAAATAACCTGAAAATAACTCAGGAATACCCTGCAACGCACGTAGAGGTACGTCAGGTATCCGGACAAAAAATGCGCGCCTTTTTTCTTAGCGTTTGCACTTCTCGCGAGCTTCCTCTCTCTCATCTTCCTTCGATCGGCCAAGACACTCATCGCCGCCGCTCAAACTTCATATAAGTTCACTTCCCGCGAGCTTCCTCTCTCTCATCTACCTTCGATCGGCCAAGACACTCATCGCCGCCGCTCAACCTTCAGATAAGTTCTCACCTCTATCGTCCACCCTCTCTAACGCGTGGATTTATACATGAAAAACAACTCTTCGGCTACCCTTCCCTCTCTGACGTCCCGACACCTAGTTTCCTCTACGTCGCTTCTTTGTTTTCTTTTCTGTCTCTTTTTGACGTTCCGGTTCTTCTCCCGGTAGATGAAACGAAACATTACATTATGTTCTTCAAATGATAGTGGACAACAGAAAACTTATCACAACACCCTCCACAGGGCATTCAAACTCAATGTCCTTAAAATCCAATCCACCATTAGCTCATTAGATGAAAGCTTTGACTCCTCCACAAGCACTCAAATTTGAGATTAGTATGTTTTCCATGTGCTTCCAAGACTAAATATCCTCCATATTATATTGTCATAAAAGGTGTACATAGTTTATCTTGGGGGGCATTATCATGGAAAAGAAGCAACAACTGAAGATTTTGACAGGGCAACTTGCTCCCACCGTGAGTTCCTGGAGTCTTTCCTGGAAAGGTAAAGCAAAATCAGATTTGTCGTCTCTAATTTCTTATGAAGTTTCTTAAATGCAAAGCAATATCATTTTCTATTTTTATCTTGAATAGCAAGGAGAAGGCTCAGCAAGCAATCATCTACTCTTATAACAAACATATTAATGGTTTGGCCGCATACCTACATGAAGACGAGGCAGCCCAATATATATTATAAATGTTTAGCATTTCATAAAAAAATACGACTATTAGTGGCTTTCAAAAAGTGAAATTCATTTTTTTCATACATAGGTTTATGACATCAAAGTGTGATCGACATAAATATCGAACTTTAGATGTCTTATGAAATATACAATAATTGTGTGATATTTGGGTAAATTTTTCAAAAAAAAAAATTTCACGAAAAAAATTTATTTTGATAAAAAAAAAGATGAATTTAGTGGACTATTTTTTCTTAATAAAAATTGAAAATAAAATTAAGAATTGCGAGCATGTCTTTTATTAGGGGTGTCTCGTGTTCGGCTCGTTTAAATTTCGAGCTCAAAAAGTGTCTATGTTTATCGAGCCGAACACGAGCCGTGGAGAAAAAGAGCCGTTCATGAAAAAGAGTCATTTTAACAACTCTAATCACATAGTCATAAAATGTTAAGGATTGGGTATTTTTAAGGGTTGGGGCAAAATTTAAAAAGCAATATTTATATTAAAACATCATTTGAATCTAATTTAATATTTATTTATTATATTTTCTTAATTATTACTTATAATTGATTATAAATCCTTGTAGCCTTATAGTCAATTATTTTAAAAAAAAATACTACTCATCAATATATATATATATATATATATATATGTATTTGTCTAGTAGCATTTCGAGCCAAAACGAGCCGAACACAAACAAATAAATTTTTGTTCGCGTTTAGCTCGTTAACTTAGCGAACAAGCTATACACGAGCTTCTTAACTAGCAGAACACGAGCTGTTCGCGAATAATGAGTCATTTTGACATCCCAATCTTTTATAACGGTAGAATACGTGGATTGTGTTATATTTCATCTATCAAATGTAAAACGACTAAATTCTTCTTTAGGGGCACTTGAGTTTAATTGTTAAAGCATTCCACCATATATTAGATTTAAAATCATGGGTTTCAAGAAATTTAAACCACTTGGATTAGCGAGCTTAATGCAAGAGGTTTTACTTCGATTGCATTTCTATAGAGGACCATAGTGGAGAATTTTCCTTTAGTCTTCAGAAGCATATTTTGGCAAAAATATGTTATATAATAAAGGGTTCCTTTTTCTCAATAACTATGTTTGGAAATTTGTCTACTACTTCAATGTTTCAATTATTTCATGATAGAGGAATTGGAAATAATATGACATTAAGAAAAAGTCATATTTATGTTTAAAATAGGTCTAATTTTAAATGTTGAAATAACTAAATCATTCCTTTGAGCTATCCATATAAAGGTACAAAAAAATATTTAAAATAGTCTTCATTGGAGTGAGAAAAATTTAATACATCATCAATATATGCAATGTAATACAAAGAGTATGAATTAATCATACCATTTATAATATCTTGAAATTTGAATGGGACAATTTTAAGACCAAAATGCATAACATTCAATCTATAATGCTCAAATGGGACAATAAATACCATTTTAGAATGATATTTTTTTTCGCAGACTTCGATTTGTCAATAATCAAACTTATGATCAAATTTTGAAAAGTTGATTCTTTTATTAGGAATAGGATAACTCACTCGTTCTAAACCTTTATTCAAGGGTTTGTAATCAATGACAAGACTTAGTTTACCTCGATCTTTTTCGACGGCATTGATGGCAAATAAGTTTTTCGTATAATGTCTCTAATTAAAAGATCATTAGTTTTAATTTTACCAAATTCAAAAGTCATTATGCATTTGGCATAGATTTGACTTAGTGGGATGCCTCTCTTTAAACTCCTTTGTTCTTATATCTTAATGGTTTTAAATTGTTCATGGATTCTTTTAATTCTAATTTTTATAGGTAGTTAATATGTTATGACTTTTACTTCCACCTATTTCATCTTATTTACAATAATTTTTTTTTTCAAATTGTGTGATGTGTCCGTAAATTTTTCAAAAAAGAATTATACGATGGCGTGACTTCATAAACTTGATTTTGAATCACACACCATAATTATACTTAAATATTCGACTTTGCATCATGTTATTTCAAGAACAAGAATAATAAAAAGGAATTTCTAAATCAAATAAAGTAAAAATTACGTAATACACACGCAAATCTACGTGCGTACTCAATTAACCCCCCAATACTCCCATAATAACTTATGAATAACACTGAAATAGAACTCACTAAGGTTATTGAGAGGTTATTGAGGTTATAGGTGATTGGAATTAATACCCAAATAACCTGCCCCAATAACCCAGAAACAAAAGTTATTGAGACGTTATTCCGCACGCAGCTTTGCGTACGCACGCATGCAAATATCACGTTGACTCTTGAGCCAAACCCTGACATCTCCCGGCCATTAGAAGATTCACGCAGCCCACATCTCCCCTATTTACAAAAGAATTTGTGATGTTTATATACATTTCCCCAAACAAAATCTATCCAAATAAATCTTTCCTGGTAATAGATTTCTTAACTCGTTGAATGAATTGTCTTCTCTCTCAACTAAATTTATTTTTCAACGCTCGCATTCCATAGAACACCCAGATGTGATATCCGTGTTCCCAAACCGGCTCTTGCAACTACATACAACAAGAACTTGGGATTTTCTTGGGTTGGAGAGAGATGGATTTGTTCCTCCAGATTCTATCTGGACAAAGGCCAAATATGGAAAAGATATTATAATTGCTCACCTTGACACAGGTTGTTCCATTGTCAACTTCTAATGAGCTTCATCTCATTCCCTTCTTTCATTTAGCCGCAAATCATTCCATCCTCAGCAATCTGCAAATTTTTCCCTCTTTCGCAGGTGTGTGGCCTGAATCTGTGAGCTTTCATGACGATGGAATGGGAGAAATCCCACCCAAATGGAAAGGATCATGCGAGAATAGCACAAAATCTGGAGTTATCTGCAACAGGTATATATTAAACATCTTATCACCTGAAACGAATCTAAACTTGCATGAAAATTAACATTGTTATTCATGCAGAAAACTGATAGGTGCAAAATATTTTGACAAGGGATACAAGTCAAAAGCAGGGATACCATTTAATGTCAGTATTGGCACAACGAGGGACACTGATGGCCATGGAACACACACCCTGTCAACAGCAGGAGGTAGTTTTGTGCCCCAAGCCAGCTTCTTTGGCTTTGCCAATGGCACAGTTAAGGGTGGCTCACCTGCAGCTCATGTGGCTTCCTATAAAGTTTGCTGGGAGTTGGGCTGCTCCGATGCCGACATCTTAGCTGGCTTCGATGAGGCCATTAAAGACGGCGTCGACGTGATCTCAATTTCACTTGGGGGCATTGCCACTAACTACTTTGCTGATGCAGTTGCTGTGGGTTCTTTCCATGCTATGCTAAATGGCATTTCTGTGGCTTGCTCTGCTGGAAATAATGGTCCTTTTGAGGGTTTAGTGTCAAATTCTGCACCATGGGTGATGACTGTGGCAGCCAGCTCAATCGACCGAGATTTCACCAACTTTGTCACTCTCAGCAATAAGAAGCTGATGTTTGTTAGTTCATGCATGAAAAGAATATACATGACCTGTGCATGAAAATGTAGCTTTGCTCATTCTTCCTTTGGTTTTGTAGGGAAAAAGCATGACTGCTAGGGGTCTGAAATCTAAAAAGCTTTACCCTTTGATCAACTCATTTGACGCCAAGGTTGACAATGTCTCTATCCATAAAGCGTAAGATATGAAGATCAACTTTAATGCACTTCTTCAAGTTGAACGTTTTTCTCATGCATTTTTAGAGTTCTGGGACTGAGTTTGTGCTAGAAATAAGATACAACATGGGTTCTTTGGAGTTTTAAGGTTGAAATGTTTGGCTTATAGCAAACACTTGGTCATGAAAAGCAAATAAATGTGGGATAATGAAGCTGGTTTGATAGCATTATTCTGCCACAATTTTTACAAAAAAATTCGACGGATAAAATAAACAGAATTACTTGAACTGAAAATGGATAAATTATTTTGCATTCAATTATTCATATTTTATAGACGAAATGTTACATAACTAACAGTCCCAAAGTCCAAATCAGCAAATTCTCACTGAGTAATCGTGCAAAAAAATGAGTAAATTTTCTTCTCTTACAAGCACTTTATCACATCTGCATGAAGCATATCATTTCTTTAAAGATAATTTTTGTTAGGTATGGCTCATATACCATAAATGGGACAGATGCTCGAGCAGAGCAGAGCCCATGAGCGGAGTGGAGCGGAAGGATCTGTCCAATCGAGAGAGTTTCATTATATGAGTTGAGTGTGCGGGGGCAACACCCCGCAGTTTAGTACATGGGTAATTTAAGAAATTACATATTGTGTTATAGGGTTATATATATGTCCGGTTTGTAACCCTAGGTGAGTCTCTCAGACTCTGAGAGCTGAATCTCATATTCTTTACTCTTTTCTGAACATTGAAAAGGAAGTCGCTGCTCTGCTCCCAGGATGTAAGCATCTTTGTAAAATTTCGTAAATCTCTGTGTTCTTCTGGATTTGTGTCAATTTCTAGTTTTTCTTTGCCCTAATTTCTCAACAAGTGGTATCAGAGTCTGGTTCGAGGGCAGAGGAGAAAAATTTCAGCACAAGCACAAGAAGAAGAAAGCTTGGCGGCGGTTCGCGACCAGGCAGCGATAGAGCGAGGCAAATTGCGAAAAAGATCGTGAGCACGCAAAGAGCTTCGCGAAGGAGGTTTGCAAACGCGAAAATCTGCGAATCGGCGAGGCTTCATGCGGTTCGCAGCAGATTGGAGTAGGTTGTGAATCGACAGGGAGGGATTCGCGACTAGTGAGGGGCCGCAACAGGTGCTCCGGATTCGCGGCAGAGTGCAGAGGAGTTCGAAGGCTTCGACGAGCCGTGCGAACAGACGAAGAGGAGGTCGCGACAGGCAGCACTTCGGCGAATTCGACAGCTTGCGAGCAGGCTTCGACGGGCTGAAAAAGGGATCGAGCGAAGGTCAGGGCTCTGAATAGCGAAGGAAGAAGCTCTCACGAAGGATCTATTTACGAAGCAAGAGATCGCGGAAAGGCAGTTCCCTCAGGAAGAATTCGGGAAAGGTTAGATTTCCTTCTGGAGTGGAGTTTTTTGGCGAAATGAAGGTTGTGGTGCGGTCCAATTTCTTTCCCGAAGGATGCGTAAGCGAAGGATTACCGTGATTTTTGCGAAAGACAGAGGTGTTCGAGCGACGGAGGAAGCGGCAGGAAGCAGAATTGAAAGGGATGGCGCAGGAAAAGAAAATTCATGCGAAAAAAGGAAATTCCGTGAAAAAGGAAATTTAGTGCGAAAATATTTCGGAGATATTTCAAGACTCGGGAAAGGCAAGAAAAGGGAACTTGTTGCTGCACTCGGAAAAGGTAAGATTTCTTTCTGGAAGGAAAGCGGAGGCAGAGTTTTTTTGGAAGGAAAGCTGAAACGGAGTTTTTTTTAGAAAGAAAGCAAAGCTTTTCTTGAAGAAAAAAAGAGTTTTTCTGGAAAGGAGAGGCAGAGCTTTTCTTGGAAGTTTAAGGAAAAGGTTTTTTGAAAAAGTTTAATTAAGGAAAATTTAATTAAGGGAAATTCTTTTTTCTGGGAAACTTAATTAAAGAAAACTTAATGTATTTTCTCCTAAGGGGCTGGATATTCGTCAAGGTGGCTCAAGGTGGCGTTTTGTTAGATATGACTCATATATCATAAATGTGATAGATGCTGGAGCGGAGCGGAAGGATTTGTCCAATTAGTGGAGTTTCATTATGTGGGTTGGGGGTGTCGGGGCAACACCCTGCGGTTTGTTACAGGGGGAATTTAAGAAATTACATATTGTACTATATGGTTATATATACGTCTGGTTTGTAACCCTAGGTGAGCCTCTGAGACTTCTATGCAGATGTTGTTAAGAAGTCTTATATTTTGTACTCTTTTCTGAATATTGAAAAAAACTCCAAGAGCTGAATCTTATATTTTGTACTCTTTTCTAAATATTGAAAAAAACGTCGTCGCTCTGCTCCCGATGATGTAGGCATCTTTGTCGATCCTCATAAATCTCTGTGTGTTCTTATGAATTTATGTCGATTCCTAGTTTTTCTTCGTCTTAATTTCTCAACAATTTTTTTCCCAAATTGTTGTTTTAAACAAAGGGGGAAAAATGCTAGCAGGGAAAAGTAATTTTCTGTAAAGTTCTTCAGTTGCCACAATAGCAATATTTGGAACTGATCCCAACAAAGTAAATGTTGTGCAGATTATAAAGAGAATGAATCATGAAGTAAACGCAACTATTCTTTCTTGAAACCTCGAGCTCCTCTTTTATAAATCCTTTCTCTTTAGCAAAATAACAGTACAATGTCTCGGAGCTAGTTGAATTTGGAATATTTAGCTTCTTGTATTTTCTCTTAGGGTTAAACAGTATTAATGATCCAAGGTCTGCTAGCCTCGAAGGTTTTCATGTGGCTCAGGTTGTTCAAGTAGATCAATCCTTGTAGTGCAAAATATTCAACATTCTAGACTTTTCCAAATTCTAAAAATATATTAGCATGATCATATGTTAATAAAGTTGTTCTTGATCCATGAATAGTAAAATGTATTTCTCCATTTCCAAATGGTTTGCCTTCATGAAACCAATCTTATATAGTCATTCCCAGAAATTAATGCAAGCCATATCCAACAAGCAAACACAAATCTTCGTCTACAACTTTATGTCATTACTCACCAGTCAAGCATAATATTGAGTTATTTTTCTGTTTAAAAAATGTATTCTTCATTAAGTTTACTCTTTCTGAGTCCAAAATATGATTACAGACGGTTATGTTACCCGGGTTCTCTCAATCGAGAGAAGGTAAAGGGAAAGATAGTCATTTGTCTTCGAGGAGACATTGACAGGCTTGCAAAAGGATTAGCTGTTCATGACGCAGGAGGTGTGGGTATGATTCATGTCAATGATGAGAATGATGACATGGTTGCTGACACTCATATAATCCCAGCTACAATGATCAGTCATAAGAGCGGTCTTCTTCTCCAGTCCTACATGAATTCCACCACGTAAGAGCTACTGTCATTTTGCTTGAACATTTTTTGAGTGGTTCTACTGCTTCATGACATGAGTGTGCAGAATAATCCCACATTGGAAGTGAAATAAGAGTTAACTTCCAATTACACTAACGGTGACCCATATGCAACTCTTAGTTATATAGTTAAGAACCAACCAACCTTATTCTAGTTGGTGGCAAAGAACATGGCTTACGAATGGAATATACTGAAAAGCAACTACATTATTCTCCCAGATCGCTTCTAGGAACAATTTCAGCAGGCAAAACTACAACAGCAGGAAAAACTACAATAGGAGTAAAACCAGCACCTGCAGTGGCGGCATTCTCATCTCGGGGACCCAGTTATATAGCTCCCCAGATTCTGAAGGTACCTCTATACCATTTTGAATACCCTTCCATAGATTTTCCTCTATCTATTTCATATTATATTTTTAAGACCGTTTTCTGAAATAACCATTATTTTGATTGCTATAATTAATGAATGAGATAATGTCTTCAGCCAGATATAACTGCACCAGGAGTTCAGGTTTTAGCTTCATTCCCTAAAGCCATACCCATCTCAGAATCAAAGTACGACACCAGGCGAGGGCCATTTAACTTCATGTCAGGTACATCAATGGCATGCCCTCATGTAGCTGGCACCATAGGACTCCTCAGAAAACTACACCCTCATTGGAGCATAGCTGCCATTAGATCAGCCATCATGACAACAGGTATACTGATACAATTTCTATTTTACCTTTTTTTTTTTATAGAGAGAGATTACATAACTCTAGACAGTGATATATTAACCATGAATCACAAAAAAATTGATGTTGAAGCACGTTGTTATTAAGAATCAATGCAGATTATGATAGTACAAGCTAACTCCATTTATTTACAGTCTAACTTAACTGTAATGTTTACAGCGAGAACCAGGGATAACACTGGAAAGCCGATGAAGGATGATGGCACAGGAGTAGAGGCCACACCATTTGCCTATGGAGCTGGACAAATACAACCAAACCGTGCAATGGATCCAGGACTTATCTATGATATGGGCGTTGAAGACTACGTGAACTTTATATGTTCCTTTGGATATAACTCAACGCAAATTCTAAAATTAACTGGCAATCCTTACAAATGTTCAATGAAAAAAATGGTGGTAGAGAATATGAATAACCCCTCATTTGCAATTCCGAGCCTCAACAAAACAATGACTGTGACCCGCAATTTGAAGAATGTTGGATTACCTGGAACTTACAGGGTGAAGATCAAAGCTCCTAAGGGTATATTGATTTCAGTAGAGCCTCAAGTTATGCAGTTCAAGGAAGTTGGAGAGGAGAAGGAATTTAAGGTATGCTTCAATTCTACTATAGGAAGGTTGGGAAAAGGATACTCCTTTGGCATGCTTATTTGGTCAGATGGGAAGCACAATGTCAGGAGTCCCATGGCTGTGAATGTAACATCATGAGGTTTACTGAATTTTTAGACATTTGCATAGTTTATCTTTTAAAATTTAGAGCCAAATGGGTTTAGAAATTCAATTGCACCACTTGTGCATGGTAGGCATGGTTGCATTGGACTGAAAGCTTCTTTCTTGATTAGTTTAGTCAATTTTCATGTGGGCTATAGATAAACTCTTTGCTTGAGCTAGCGGTGGAATTCTTTTTTTATTATTTAAAGTATCATCTACTCATCTTCAAAAATTTTATAGCAATAAGTTAACATCAGACTAGAAAATTGCTTATGGATAGAAGTTAAATTCTTAATGATATGTTTTACATGCTATAATCAGGACTCTTTGGTTGTGTGTGTGTGTGTAGAGAGAGAGAGAGAGAGAGAGAGAGCAAATAAGAATTGTTGATATATAATTAAAAGACCCCCTTGCGCAATATTAAAGAAGGGCTGCTCTCGCCCTTAAGGTAAAACTTAGTAACCTGAGTTCTCACCCTACCAGACCTAAATATAGGTAAAAAATAAGGAGTCCGATGTAGTATGTGCTCAATCGTAACAAAAAATGCGGGCTATTAAAAAAAAAAGAAAAATACCTCAGCCATACTCTAGTCAACTAGACCACTCGAATCAATACATCTCACCGTTGGAAAATTTTGGCGGAATCACAAACCAAAGAGTTGATTCATGAAACACAAGATCTTACCTTGATTCATTATTTCTTACTCTTATGGGTTATTATCTTCTAAATCAACGTGTGTTCCAAGATCTCTTCTGTTGATGGGATTCCATATAAAAAGAAATACCTCTTTCTCTTGAAAACAATGAAGAGACACTTTTCCATATAAAAAGAAATACCTCTTTCTCTTGAAAAAAATGAAGAGACACTTACACACATGAAATGGGGACTATAACCCTTTAAGATAATTACTCATGGATAGTTATTTCCATGACAATTGCACTTCCAATTTTGCACATCATAAAATTAAAAAAATACAAATAGAACTCTACACATAATTTTCACCACATTTCATACCCATAAGCCTATACTTTATTAGATCACATTAATGAGGCTTAATTTTATAATAACATAACACATTTATTTACATATATTGGCCCACATAAAATAATTGTTTATTTATTTTATCTAGCAATCTCCCACTTGGGCCACATATGTTACCTTAAAAATGTGTTTATTTTAGTAAGTTCAAACTTCACTATCATTTATAAGGGCATTCTTTAACAATCTCGTTCATTAACTATATCAATATAGGACCAAAACGACCTTCATGACAAATATAACGTGACTAGACCCATTAATGATCATATAGATCAATGTAATCAAATAAATAGATCAAATATGAATGTGTAGCATGAAACTTACATGCAATGTGATTCATACATGAATAATTTCAACTAGTTCAAAGTAAAACTTTAATGAGATCAAAACCGAATCAAAATAGAGTAAAAACTGAACTGAATTCTTTATTTCTGCAAAAAACACACAATGTCTATATATTTAAAAGAAAATAGCATTCAAATACAAACTCCCACTAAAATTATATATTATTAAGTAATTAACACTCATATGAGCAGTATGCTCATGAAAGACCTTGGGTGGAATTCCTTTAGTGAGCGGATCAGCAATCCCAAAGTTTGTGTCAATGTGTTCTATAGACATTTGACCATTTTGAACTCTTCTTTTTAACAAGAACAAGATACTTAATCTCAATATAAATTGATTTTGAAGAACTCTTTTTGTTATTGGAATACATATTGTAGATTTATTATCACAAAATAATTTAAGTAGTAATTCTATGCTTTTTACAATATGCAACCCAGTGACAGTTTCACAACTATATTTCATGATTGAATGTTTCATAAAATGTTATAAACTCTACTGCTACAGAGGAAGAAGTTATCAGTGACACTTTAGCACTCCTCAAAGAAATAGCTCCTCCAGCAAGCAGATAAAAATAGCCCGAAGTTGATCGACGATTATCTTGACATCCACCAAAATCTGATAATGATCCCAAGTTGGTCTAATCTTTTATGCGTGAGCATGTAATCTTTTGTTTTTTTGTAAATACCGCATAACCCATTTTGTTGTTTTCCAGTGATCCATTCCAAAGTTGCTCAAATATCTACCCAAAATTCCAACAATATATGTTAGATACAAACGTGTGCAAACTTGAGCATACATTAGACTCCTAGCAGCTGATGCATAAGGAACCTTTTCCATTTCCTTAGACTCGAAGTTATTTTTAAGACACAAACTTAAAGTAAATTTATCTCCTTTAGCTATAGGGGTATCTCCTGACTTACAATTTTGCATGCCAAATCTTATAAGAGCTTCCCAATATAGCTCTCTTGTGATAGCCCAAGAATACACTGAGAAGGGTCTCGATATATTATGATTCCAAACACAAAACAGGTGTCCCCAAGATCTTTCATTTCAAAGTACTTTGATAAAAACCTCTATGTTTCGTTCAGTATGCATATATCATTGGTAGGAAGCACTATATCATCAACATACGTCATCAAAAAAATACGCTCACTCCCACTAAACTTATGGTATACACAATTATCTATAGTATTCATCCTAAAACCGAATGAAATTATCATTTGATGAAATTTGTGATACTATTGACGAGAAGCTTGCTTTTGCTTGAGCCCGTAGATGAATTTATTTAAGTTGCAAACTGTCCTCTTTGCATCTCCCGCATAAAGTTTTCAGGCTATATCATATAAATCATTTCATTACTATCACCATTTAGAAATGTCTTAACATCCATCTGATCTAATAAATCATTTCATTACTATCACCATTTAGAAATGTTGTCTTAACATCCATCTGATCTGACTCTATCATATAAGTGTCATAATTATCCTAAAAGAGCATTTCATAGAAACTAGAGAGAAAGGCTCTTTATAATTGATGTCTTCTTTGTGAGTAAAGTGCTTTGCAACAAGACAAGTAATATCATTCTACATCACCCTTCGAATCCCTCCTGGTTTTAAATATTCATTTATAACCAATAGGATTAGTACCTTCACGTAATGGAACAAAATCCCAAACCTTATTGTGCATGGACTTGAATTCTTCATTCATGGCATCAATCCACTTTTGAGAGTTTGTGCTTTGCATGGCTTGATGGACATTGATGGGATCATCTTCCATCAATTCAATGTTATCATCATGCTATTGGAGAAATATTATATAATCATCTGAATAGCACTTCTTTTCTGTCTAGCGGGTCTCTTTAATAGCCCAAGTTCTTGTGATGGTTGTTCTTGAGAGTATTGAGTTTGTACCTCAAGGGGTTCAACGACTTTGTCTTGTTGATCGTAATTGCAATTTGATCAGTGACAATAACATACAACTGAATATTATCAGAATCAATTATAGGAATAGTAACTGATTTCAGTTGATCAAAATCCGCTATAAAAACAATCTTTAACCTTATGTCATCACCCATAGTTAACATCCTCAAAGAATATTGCATTTCCTGTTTCAAAAATTGCCTTAATAGTAGAATCATAAAATTTATACCTCTTTGATTATTCAGAGTAACCAACAAAGTAACAACTCACTGTTTTATAGAGTATAATTTCTTTTCATTTGGCCTGAAAGGTATTGCCTCAGTTAGACAACCCTAAGTATGAAAAGCTTAAGGCTAGGTATTTTGTCAGTCCAAAGTTCAAATGGAGTTTTGGTTGTTGTCTTAGTTGGTACTCTATTAAGAAAATAAGTTGCAGTCTTAGGTGTTTCATCCCAGAGGGATTCGGATAAGGTAGAATGACATATCATACTCCTCACCATATTCTTAAGTGTCTGAATTCGTCTCTCAACAACATCATTCATGCTAGATGACCTGGCATATTGAGGGACTATCCCGCATTCCTCCATGTATTTGTCAAATGGCCCGGGAAGTTGTTCACCTGAACTGTCATATCTGCAATAGTATTCACCACCACGGTCAGATCTAACATTTTTAATTCTTTTGTTGAGTTGAAGTTTAACCTCAGCCTTATATGATTTGAACACGTCTAATGATTGATCTTTCATGTATGAGATATATGTAGCCATATCGAAAGAAATTGTTATGAATGGTGCACAAATATTTGTATTGTATCAATTCTAAGACGTCTGAAGCTCTATTAGTACATTGCCCTCTTTTATTGATTTGTTTCTCTTTAATAGAGTCAACACAAACTTCAAAATCAATGAAGACAAGGAAATCAAAAATTTCATCTGGCACAAGTTTTTTCAGCCTTCTTTCTGAAATATAACCTAATTGCTTATGTCATAGCACATCATAATTATTATCAACTAATTTATGTTTTATGCCACGGGTATTAACATGCAAGGCTTCATTATAAAAATAAATTGTATCGAGCAAGTATAGATTATTTGGTGACATAAATAACCAGTACCAATAAAATATGAATTTTAAGAAACTGAACGGGTTTTTTTCCAAATGAACAAGTATTTCTAAATTTCTCCAAACCAGAAATAGAAACTAAATTTCATCTAAATGACAATACAACAAAAATGTCTTTCGAATCCTATTAATAACAAGTACATAACAATAATCTAAAATGTCTTGTAGCTTCAAATTCATTTTTTTTACCATCGCCCACATAGATGAATCTTTCATCATCAATTGGCTTTCAGTAGCTCAAAAAACCCTACATAAACGCACTTATATGAATGGTGGCAACTGAATCAATCCACCAAGTGTGCTTTGATGCTAAGGCTAAATTAGCTTCAGAGCAAACCAAATTGAGAAGTGTACATTAATTTGCTCGTCAAACATTATATTTGGTACAATCCTTCTTTATATGTCCAAACTTACCACAAAAGAAACTATCTGATTTTTTTTAGTTTCTTTTTTTTATTTTATTTCTTTTGAGCTGGACCTTTAGCAGCTTCTTTATTCTTCAGTCTTTTTTTTTATTATCCTTAGAGATGCTACTCAAATGAGAGTTTTCAGTCTTTTCTTGCTTCAACCTTTCTTCCTCTTGCACACAATGAAAAATGAGCTCATTGAGAGTCTATTTATCCTTTTGACAGTTGTAACTGACCTTGAATTGACTGAATTGTGCATAAAGAGAAATCAAAACTAATTGCACAAAAGATCCTCAGAAATATCCAACTCTAGTGTCTTTAGTTTTGAAGCAATATGAAACATCTTCAATTATGTACTCCCTTATGTTTCATTTACTTTGATATCTCATTGAAATCAAACTTGCTAAAAGCATGTTTGTTTGAGTCTTATCATTCTTGGCAGGACATTTCTCAATAGCCTCAAAGAAACCTTTAGTTGTATCAACCTCATCAGACACAATGTCTCTAAAT